AATTTTAGGAGTATGAGAGTGTGTCATCAACTGCGCACGTCCATGTCTACTTTAATCTTCTGGATATCAAATAATATTTGATAGAGAAGAACTGTCTTCCTGAATAATATCATCTAGAAAAAAAACAATATTTAAATGGATAGTGATTTCTTTTAATTATATCGATGTTTAAAGTGAAACTGCTTTGGGACGCTAAATTTGTTCGGGACGCTTTGTTAGCGCAACATGGGAAACGTCAGTTTTTGTGCTGTATAATGATATTTTGTGGATGAAAAGTTTATTTCCTTCTTTATGTCACTTACACATAACATAAAAGAACTTAATTACGATTTATCTTTGCTTAGATAAAAAAATACCATGAAGACGTTTGGGACGCTATGTTAGTCAGTTAGCAACTTGAAACATGCGTGGATAGACGTACAGTTTCGGGCGTTATAAAGATAATATAATTTTATGTATGGAAAACATTTTTCTCGCTATTGTTACTTACATTACTATTTCGTTAACTAAAATTACGAAGTAATTCAAAATAATTTTGGTTTCGATAAACATTAAACCTTCCGGACGCTTTGTCGGTATACGGTGGTTTTTGAGCAAGTGAACTGGAGTCGAAGGTATGTTAGTTTTTTTTTATATAAATAGAAAAAATGATAAGAAAGATTATTTTTTTCTACCATAAATACCTCAATACATAATAATATACATTATTTACAATAAATATAACCATTCTGACTGTTTAAATTAACAATAATGCTTCGGGACGCTTCATGACATTTCGGGACGCTAAATTCTTCGGGACGCTTTGTTAGCGCAACATGGGAAACGTCAGTTTTCGCGCTGTAAAATAATATTTTGTGGATGAAATGTTTATTTCCTTTTTAATGTCACTTACACATATCATAAAAGAACTTAATTACGATTTATCTTTGCTTAGATAAAAATAAAAACCATGAATACGTTTCGGGACACTATGTTAGTCAGTTAGCAACTTGAACTATGCGTGGATAGACGTACGATTTCGGGCGCTATAAAGATAATTTTATGTATGGAAAACATTTTTCTTATTATTCTTACTTACATAACTATTTCATTAACTAAAATTACGAAGTATTTCAAAATAATTTTGGTTTCGATAAACATTAAACCTTCCGGACGCTTTGTCGGTATACGGTGGTTTTTGAGCAAGTAAACTGGAGTCGAAGGTATATTAGTTTTTTTTATATAAATAGAAAAAATGATAAGTAAGATTTTTTTTTTCTACCACAAATACCTCAATACATAATAATATACATTATTTACAATAAATATAACCCTTCTGACTGTTTAAATTAACAATAATGTTTCGGGACGCTTCGGGACGCTAAATTTCTTCGGGACGCTTTTTAGTGAGACCGTTAAATACAGTAGATAATACAAAATTTGCCTGGTAAGGCCTAAAAAAAAATTATGTCTGTTTCGGGTAACCCGACCCTACCTATAAAAATGCGCCGACCCTAACTATTTTTTTCCGTTTCTGGACAAAAAAAAATTCGTAAGCCAAAGGGAGGATAAATGAGAATTGAAAGCTTGAGACGCTCTCGTAAAACTCTCAGACGATTTAGATTGGTCATTTTTAGTCATACGTGTTTTGATTGGCTCGTGCTGTATTGTGGTCAATGAATGTTACGCTATCGGAAACAAAAATTCTACATGTAGACGATATTTTTAGAAGGAATTCCTACCGGAAGTATTCTCCGGTTCCGTTTTACATATATTGACATAGAGCGGAACGGGGAAACCACGCACGTGTTGCGAGAGAACACTTCCGATTTAGGAATTTCTACATGTAGAATTTATCTTAGAATACAGGCACATAGGACTTAGTGTCACTCGTGGAGGATAAAACCATTTAAAAGTATGTAAAATCCAGTTGTTAGCATGTGTGTTCGACCCGTTTGATCTCTTTGTTGATTAGTATTTCATGCGTAAATACCAAGCTACAATGTACATGTCATGACGGTCTCCTCTTTCGGACCTGGGTGATATTTGACTTTCTGGCTTTACTGTGGTAATTTACGTGAAAATAAGGATCTGTTCATAGACAGTTTTGAAAGAAAAATATATATTGTATTGATTTTATGCGAAAACCCGAAGATACTACCTGCCGGTGGAAAATTTTGACACCGAGAACAAACATACCCATAATTTTCGTACTCGGATGTTGTCAGTGAAAAAAAAATTTTTTTTAGTAGATCTATATTGATATTTTATTGCATAAATAACAAGGTTAAACACATTTTAGGTAAAATCAATGCCACTATTTTTTATTGCTTTTAATATTCAAAAATTTGAAAAGCTGTTTTGATATGTCCTGTGCCACACTTCAAATTCAAAATGAATTAATATTAAAACAGTAACATTAAAATGAAAAGGGTGAGAAAAAAACACTGAAGTTACACATTTCAGCTTGATTGGAAAATTGAAAGTGTTACAATTTATTAAACCAGTTCAAGTTCAGACAGTAGTTAGAAGCAAATGAGACCCTAGTCCCACTGAAAATCAAGTGCACTCGAGTATAAAGTATAGCCACAGGTCATATGTACATAGATATTCTGGAGACCTGCAAAGCTTTTCCAGTATATTTTTCATCCTCTTTTGCATACTGAAACAAATTTTTAGCCAGACTTGGAGTCTGACTCTGTACTGTGCATCATTTTGTTTCATACTGTCCCATTTTCCATGTGCTATTGAGATCTAGTCTTTGATTTTTTTCAGATGGGCCATGGATACTATTAGACAACACTTTGAATGACATCTACAAAATGCCAATTCAACAAAAAGCTTGGCTATTGTCTTTGATATGTTGATATACATGTATCTGATAGAAAATAAACAGTATTTGATTGACAAGGGTGTTATTTTACAAATAGAAGTGTTTGCACTTTTTATGTGAACCAGTGTTTCAAAAGTGCAATTCAAAATTATAGATTTTGTTAAATTGTACCATAGTGTCAAAATATAAACTTTGTTATACTGTAAGAGCTTCAAGATGTCAGCTCTACAATTGTTAATTCAATGAAATGTGCAGTATTTAATGCACGAATATCAAATAGTGAAAAACAAGTCTAGATTTTTTAACTAAAACTTTGAAAAAGATCACAGATCACAGCATGTCATTTTAGCTCTTTTATTGTGCTTAACTCCTACCATGCAACCAATGTAGACTCAGATCAGCAGAATTGAAACCATGCAAGCTGATGAGAATCTGCACTGTTTGCTGTTCAGATTAAAGTCAAACTTAAAGTAGTGCCTGTAGCAAACAAACATCAAAATTAACACATGTTTGGGTATATTGTCTTTATTCAATATTGAAATAACATTCAATTGCATTAAAGCTATGCAGATTTTAATCAGAATTATTGTTTATATGATAAAATATGATAATACAAAGTCAGGCAATGTCAGTAGTGTAGGAAAGACTGCCATGTGCAAGAAAACACTCTGAACTTACGACAGATTTTTGAAAAAAAAAAAAAAAAAAATCAAAAAAAATCCCTACCTACCTAGCAATTTGGGAAGGTTACCCTAAACAAACAATTTTTTTTTTTTTGGCCTAAGGAGAGAGAATAGTCTGTCATTTGTACTTTTTCAGTGATATTGTTAACCTTTAGCATTTCAATACATTCTGCCTATATTGGAAAACTTAGCTTATTTTTTATCAGAAAAATATAATAACCTTATAAATTAATTTAAACATTATTTAATATGAAAAAGGCAAAGCCTCAAAGCGAGCTCGATGTACTTTTAACGTGAAATAGTATGAAATAATCGCTCATTGCAGTGACGAGTGCGTGTGACGTCACACATACTGTGTTATAAATGGCTCCGCCCCTGTCGTTAAATGAATAACGAGTTTTGAAAACGCTGATAAAACTTTGAATGTTTATTTTATTTCACTCTATAATTTTTCAAGCGAAATAAAGATTATTAAAAGTGAAATAAATTTAAAACTTAAAACGTTTGCGACATTAAAATAGCGTACTTGATTGTTTTGCACGTGCTGTTTGGCGCTACATTGTGACGGTCACGTAAACAATACTTTAAACGTCTGTACAGCGTAAACGACTGAATAAAAGATATTGGTGTTCGGATTCATTTTCTTAGTTAGACCATTTTCTTTCATTCTAGATAGTTTTCACAACAAAATTCGACAAAAAATTATTTTTATTTATCAGATTTTTCAAACAAAATGGCGCCTTCAATTATCATTTTACATTTTCCGTTTTAAAACTGTCATTCGATATTTAATACACAGCATCCGATATTATGGTTCCCATAGAAGTGCGCGGGTGACCAGTCTACACATCTGTTTTCAGTCAGAATTCCTCAGTTTTTATCGTTATCTTTAAATTCGAAAAGTTGCGATGTGTCCAATTCGGTACTTCGGACGAAAGTTTTCAAAACCATCACTTAGCAGGTACTTGCGTTACCGTAAAGCTTGCTTTGCGAGCAGGCCCTTTGGGCCAGCTCGTCGAGCTCGCTATTAATATTATATTCTAGTCCAACTAATTGTATTAATTGCTCAAGGAGATTATCAGTATCAATCAGTTAATTAATGGGAACTGTGTCTGTTTTCTACATGTTTTCTACTCTTTATTATTTTATATTAGACTTCAACACATACATGTAGTCATTAGACATTTTGATTGGTCGCAAAACAGATGCTAAAAATCTACATGTATTCTATTTCCTTTGGCTGAATAATCCACATATCAAAAAAAGTTAAAAATTGGTGAACAAATAAATAAAGCTATCAATGGTTTGGTATTTCTGTGAATCATGTATTAGCATTATTATGAAGTTGGATTGGCACTTAGTACTGCTAGTACTTAGACATTTTAATGTCCATAACCATTAAATTACTGATTGAGACACTTAAAATCCAACAAACTTAAACCCCAGGAAATATGGACATTTCATTCTTTGCTGAAATTCCAATTTTTTTTTTTGTATTTCTACAGGAATAATACCTATCCTTTTACCAGAAGACTTGTAATTTTTGTAAAATGGTGGAGGAATTCAAACATGGATTTATACGACTGTGTAAGGAACATGGTCTTGAAGCCCAAGATTGTGTTGTTAATCTGCTTAAAAGGTAAGATCCACTAGAACACACATTGAATATCACAACATTGTTAATATCATCACAGAGACATACATAACTCTATGTCTCTGATCATCATGATCAATATTTAACATTTGTTTCAATATCAGTTCAAAATTTAGAATATCAATTTAAAACCCATTTCTCCCTGTCTTGTTATGAAATTCTTCTTTAAATCTGTAAAGTTCAACAATGAAAGACATTGGAGTAAAACTTCTACACATTGTGTTTTATAGAGTATTTATTGTTCTTGTAAACTTTCAAGTAAATTTTTACCATTGTTTTCCAAGTAATGAAATTATAGTAAAAATTATACTTAGAATTTCTATGAACTCAGTGTGTATATTTGTATACATGCAATATTAAGATTGAAAATTTTCAACTTTAACACTGTTAAGAAAAGGCATTATAACATGTACAATGTATTAATTATCATTAGTAGAATCAAAATTATAGTTATATTATAATTTTTGTTTAAAGCATGGAGCATACTTCAAAGAAAGAGAAGCTTGTGATGAATCTCTCCACTAACAGTTTAACCAGTAAAACGTGTGCTGTGCTAGGCAAGATTATTGCTGCTGATCACACATTTGCTGAATACAAGTTTGCTGACTGTATGCTTAGCGAAGATGGTGAGCTTTTACAATTTTTTAGTTATTTGAAAAGGTGCAGTAAATAGAGGATATTGAAAGAATGTAGGTTCAATACTGAATTTAGCGCAAGACCAGGCTCAAATATTATAATTTTATTCAACAAGTTCACTAAATTTAGAAATAAACCTATATCAATATAATATTCTATTTATATCGCGGGGCGTCCGTGGCCGAGTGGTTAAGGTCGTTGACTTCAAACCACTTGCCCCTCACCACTGTGGGTTCGAATCCCGACAGGGACTTTGGATTCTTTCATGTGAGGAAGCTATCCAGCTAGCTTACGGAACGTCGTTCGTTCTACTCAGGTGCCTGAAATAATGCACAAAAGGGCACCCGAGGTCTTCCTCCACCAGTAAAGCTGGAACGTCGCAATATGACCAATACTGTGTCGATGTGACGTAAAACCTAAAACAAACAAAAATTTATATCACATATCCAAAATAAGAACTGTTTACATTAAAAAAAAGAATCACTTTTTCATTGATGCACTTATAGTGCAACGCTAGGGCATTTTAATGCAATGTTTGTTTAACATAAATGAAGTCAAGCCAAAATATATGCACGGCCATGGAATACCATTTTTATGGGGTCACAAAAGCGGCACGGGTATGTGAAAAATACTGTAAATAGGTTTTGGTATATGTTGCATCTATAAATTTTGACAACTTGTTGATACTTTAGGCATTAAATGCCATTCCTGCATGACCCATGTCAGTGTTTCTTTTTCTTTATATAACTACTACCCTAAAACAGTACTGTTCCCAATAGAAAATAGCCATTAAAATTCCCAATTTCCAATGTTTAAATTCCCAAAATGGCTGTTCAAAATTCCAACAAGGCCAAGAAATTTCTCTGAAATCATTTAAATCCAACATGTTCATATAAATCACCACTTCATAGTTCCACCTTTACAGTGGAAGCTGTTAGCTATCTTTATTCATGATGATTAATCTTATTTGTAGCTGAAAAAATGCTTAAAAAAA